GGAGCGTACAACGGCCGAAACGTCGTGAATATAGCAACAAAGTGGAGGACAACAGTCTGAACAATGTAAATAGTGTAAATCATTACAATACCTCAGAACTATAGACAGATAAGAAATCTTTTGTCGCAAATGTAAGAAACGCACTCTCCTCTGTAGGAGGTAGAAAAGGTGACCTTCAATCGCTATCTCCAAGCGTTCGTTTCTTTCATTTGTTTGTTGCAAAACAATCGTCTGTAAAAGAGTCACGTTACTCAAATGACCGCTCTTAATCCACAATCGTGACTGTTCACTGTGTGTGAAAGATATGACAGGTAAATAGGCCGGCGTATTTCAGTAAAATATTTTTCCTATCATTATAAGAATGTAAAAGACAGAGAGCTTTTTTATTGATATATTTTTATCTTGATATATTTTTATATCATACCTCACACGTTATTAACAGGGAAGAAACCATTACAAATCTTCGCCTATTGTTTGTAAAGGTCATACAGCAGTTGATACACCTGGTGCTCAAAATGCTTAATAGGACACATGGGAACTGAGAATAATTCCTTAATAATTTCGATGCTTATATACGGAAATTAGTCTGGCGATTAAAGAAAAAATATCCTCAGATAATCTATCTATCTATCTATCTATCTATCTATCTATCTATCTATCTATCTATCTATCTATCTATCTATCGTTACATGATCGCCTCCTAATGATAATTATAGACGGCGAGATTTTGGAATTATCACCCGCCCGAGGGCAATTACTGCGGCGCGAATGCTGAAAGACCCGATCTCTTTCTCGGAGACTTTTCATAGCGAAAAGACGTATACTTTTCGCTCCTGCAAAATGTGAGTAATCAACTGGTGACATTCTATGTCTTACCTTTTTCCTTTGGACTTACACGAGTCCACCAAAATTGTTAGCGGGTCAAATGTACCAGGAACTTATAAAATCTCATCAAAAGTGTATATATCCACCAACAATATCTATCTATCTATCTAACATATTCTGTTTATATATATATATATATATATATATATATATATATATATATATATATATATATATATATATATATATATAAATATAAAAGTGAACAGCGACAGGATGTGTCATGCTAGACGCAATCGTCAGGCCGCGAATTGTCGCCTGTGATTGTTGACTTCAATGTTCATTTTATATTTATATTTACATACGCTCTATCTCTGATATTGAGCACTTTATCCCATAAATATAGCAAACCTTAAAACTATATATATATATATATATATATATATATATATATATATAATAAATAAATAGTAAAAAGAAGTAAAATAAATTAATCTAAATTAATCCAAATAAATAAACTAATAAACCGATCCCCATAAATTAACCGTTAGAAAAAACAAGTAGAGATAATCAATCCAAATAAATATATGAAGTAATAAACAAATTAAAAACTACTCCAGCCAAAATAATAGTTAGAATAAACTACAGCAATCAACCCTAAAATTGAATAAATAGCTTTGATTATCTTCCCAAATAAAAAAAAGCTATTAAATAAGCGATATATATTCGTACAAGTAATTTTGTACGTTAACAGAAGAACATATCAATTATGGACACGGCCACAACGTGCTGACTGTGTTCGGGAATTAGAACTTTCTTGTTTCTATAACAAAAATCTACATGTTCAGACAGACAAAAAACACCTTTGATAATAGCTAATAGATTATTCAAAACCGCTCTGATTCACAGTACACTTGAACAGTTCTTACACACTGCAAAAAGAAATCACGCTTAATCGCAATACAGTGTCAATCCTCTTCAATTATATATATATATATATATATATATATATATATATATATATATATATATATATATATATATGGGTATGTCGTATGTGTATGACAGAAAATATATACACGCATATATACTTGCACGTACGTATAAATATATTTTTACTTCGGGTGTTATAAATACAGTGCTCAATGTTATGTGACAGAGCTATAAGTATATATTAGTGAATATAAATAATACCCTACGTTGATATTATGGATATTCACTAATATATATATATATATATATATATATATATATATATATATAATTATTATTATAATGACGAAAATGAACACATAAAATACCATCGTGATATTTATTTCATTAGAATCGAAGATTTGATTCCAACTCTTCAGACGGCCTCTTACACACAAATATAAATGGTCAAGGGTCTTATCAGCTTTAAAAACCTAGTCAGAACATAAATTATGTTAAATATGCATATTCAATTTTTTTTTTTTTTGGGGGGGGTCCAACTGTCCCTCAGGTTAACTTTCTGTTTCTTTCTACTTTTTTTCTTCTTCTTTATACTTCTTCATCTGTAGAAGTCTGTTCCTTTTCGAATTGTGTGTCTAAAAATTAGGGCAGCATGTCTACAACCTCTACTATCTCTTTGAACAACTTAAATAAATCTTTCTTCCTTTCCTAGGTTTGAATATTTTCACCGTTCCCTCGTTTACCTTCTCTCTTTCTGAATAAATACGCTTTCTTCCCCTACCCGACTAAATTTGAATATGCATATTTACCATAATTTATATTCTGATTGGGTTTTTAAACCTGATGAAATCCTTGTCCATTTATATTTGTGTGTAAGAGTCCGTCTGAAGAGTTGTAATCGAATCTTCGATTCTAAAGAAAAAATATCAATAATAATTATTATTATTTGTTCTGTTTTTGACATCGATCTCGCTGGATTTATACCCTTTTGGAATTTCAATGAGGATTACCAGATATATATATATATATATATATATATATATATATATATATATATATATATATATATATATATATAAATATATATATAGAATTGGAATCCAAATTTACCTCATTCGAATAGCAATTTCAACCAATTCAATTTTGTGGATCAGTTTTAATATTTTATATTATTAGGATTCACTTGGATTTTATATATATATATATATATATATATATATATATATATATATATATTCATTTTTATTGTGTCTATCTGTGCAACATAGGAAAGTGCAAGGTTATTTATCTTGAAAATCAGCGTTTAAGATCCTGGATTTTACTTAAGTTCGAACTCGGCCCAACGATGCCGGTTGTAAACTGCAGTGCGAATTGAATCACCGAGCAAGTGGGTGTGTACACTCCCCACATGTATATGGACACAGAGACAGTAATGTTTAATTTAACGTTGCTAAGAAGTTTGAATAATGATACTTAAAAATATGATACGTCAAAGAGTATCCACTGAAAACGTTTTATATCACAAGAAGCTACTGTCTATTATTAGGATATGTTTGTCAAATGGCCGATTTAGTTACAAGCAGATCATGGTCTCTGTTTTTGTTTGTTTGGATTTATTAATAGGTTTTTGAGTATATAGCTTACACCTCAAAATCACAAAAACAAGAATTTTGAAGTGGAAATCTAGAAAATGAGGACATCAATAATTCCAGTTGTATTTGGATCCATCGGATTGATTGGAAAAGGTTCCAATAAACTCATTGAAAGGATTCGTGGCAGCCCATGCTTTAAAGAAATACAAAAAAATATACTCACACATTATGAAGAGCTTTATCTATGTAAAATGTGCGTGATCTTAGTTTTTTTTATTTTATTTATTTATTTTTTTTTTTTTTTAGAAAAATGAGTGAAATTGTCAGGAAGTCCTTTTTTGACCTTAGGTTTCTGGTTGGGACCCGGAAGGAAATGTGTATACAACAGGAATCAAAGGAATAATAATAATAATAATAATAATAATAATAATAATAATAACCACTCTCTGAATGTAATATGCTTAAAACCTTTTAAGAAAGACCTTCCTTTACCTCAGCTAAAAGTCTTGGAAAAAGATTGTAAGAAATAGCAAAAGCAGGAAATCTGGAGCAAAATCCCTTGTGCACCATCTCTCCAGGTGATCCCCAAAATGGTTCTACCAAGCGCAGCCCATATTCCGCGAAAAGCTTTGTCTTTCTAATTTTTTGTTGTTGTTTCGTTTTGTTAATAACTGTATTTTGTTTACTAAGGGGAGACAAAAAAAAAAAAAAAAAAAAAAATCACAGCCTTCATTTGTCCTAGGTCATTAGTTTTGACTAATAATAATAAAAAAATTACTGATGATAATGTTGAACCAAATAATAAAATAATTAATTGAAAAAAGAATGCATTTATTAGTGATATAAACTACCATGGAATTTCTGCTATCATCGTCAGTAAAACGAGTTTAAAAAAATATGTTGAAGGCAATATTTAGTCTCTGTGCGGGTCCCAGCAATAAATAATTGTCCGCCCGTTACTGCCGGTGGAAGAACTGAGTGAAGAGATGTAGAATTCATTTATGGCAAAGACATAAAAAAGTCATTTACGGTTGGAAATAAAGACGCAAATGTTTCTTTTGTAAAACAAGATCACCTTTCCAAGGTCGTAAAATTATAAATACGCTAGTGTTGTCTCTAATTCTTTGTTGAGAGATAGGGAGAAAATTGAACAGTGGCTTGCAACGCCGTCTCTATTTCATAGTTTTATGATACTGAATTCATGAACGACGACTCTGCCTAAATCTTGACAGATCCAAATTATTCACTTTACCTTAGACCTTTATGAATTTAACAATATAAATATAGAATGTAGCATAGTATAAAAACACTATCATCGTATTATAATACTGTCTGTTCCTCTATAAGATAGCACACGCGTTACGCATTGCCATTGTCTAAGATAAATAACAGACAATTCCGTTTTGATTGCAACAGATGAAAAATATATATCCAAGACGTTGTTTTTGCGAGAAAATAATAAGAAAGAAAGAAAAGATAGAGGAGGCGATGATGCTGTCATACATTTAACGTCTGCTTCAATAAAATGGTTGACTGATTCATGCTTTTCCCAATGCTTAAGTGAATATAACAAACCCAACTGGAGTTGGAACTCGGCTCTCCGGTTTTTAATTCCGAGCCGTAATCCATTAAGCAACCCGCACATCCAAGCTTGCAACACCTGGTATACCCAAGCGGTCACTCATCTAGGTAGTGGCTAGGCTCGACGTTGCTTAACTTCAGTGATCGTACCATAACCGGTGTTTCAACATGATACGAACGAAAGCCTTAGTGGAATGGAGGACGTTGTCAATTTTGAATCTTTTCATTTCTATTCTCTTGACTCTTTAATTGTTATTGCAATATTTTGCTATGCTAAAATAGTTAACGATACAACATTGGGATTTCCACGGCTAATTTATAGTCATCGAACTCGCAAAGATCTTAAGAACTATGAATCATCAGAACATTACTGCTACTAAATTAATATTATAGTATATATATATATATATATATATATATATATATATATATATATATATATATAATGAGAAGCCACGTATACTTTCTTAATATGTATATATAGAAAAAACAACTAAAAAGTTGCAAATTAAAAAATAATAATGTATTTTTTTTATGAAAGTATTTATTTATATTTTTTTATATGTAGTTTTGATATTTCAGATCGACCTCGATATTTCTTCAGAAATAACTGTTATCGAAAAGGAAAAAAAAGTTTTATTTTTATTACAAGTTTATTACAATCTTGGATACAATACATAATGGAAAAACATGAGAAGTTTGTCAAATTAAAAAGAATATTCAGATAAGAATATGAGATTTTACTTTTTAGGCGATTACGTCTGAACACACTGAAAAACTTGGGAAAAAACAATTATAGGTCCACTTGATGAAACCGAAAAAAAAAAACAAAACAATAAAACATTAATTATTTCAGAGATTATCAGACAATGACAGGGTCAGACGGGTGCCAGTAAAATTTAAAATCTTGTCTGATGCGTTTTCAATCTTTTAATACTCAAGTGTGAAGTCTCTGAGAGGCGTCATATAGACATTTAGCAAATAGGTGTGAACAGAAATTCAAAAGGTTTGCTGAGGAATAGGCTAAGTGAACTCTAGAATATTTACTTCGTTTACCATAATTTACCAATAAAATAATTAAATTAGACTCTGAGAGTCAATACGAAATCTGTGAATGGGATTCCTAACCTTCGCCTTTGCGATTTTTCCGATTCCCCGATTCCGATTAATCGTCCCAACACTATATATATATATATATATATATATATATATATATATACATATTCATGAATTATTCACACAAAAAACAAATGCAAAGGTTAATGATTTAATTGGCGAGAAATCCATCGTCGCAAACAATTCAAATAATATACAAAAACCTCCGAATCCGTTATGAATGAAATGATCCTTGTTTCTATAAATTTCTGCCGTATTAGTTCTTATTTTTACTACAAGCTTTCGTCTGTTCCTACAGACATCTTCGGGTATGGAATAGATGTTGTTCTTGTTTTTTCTCTTAGTAATAAGAGGACAACGAAAATATATGTATTGTTGTATCCGAAAATGCTATTGGAAATGAGTTATTGTTTTTGGAGCGCGCAGTAGCAACGCTGGGTTTGATTTTAAATTTTTTACAGTTGTGCGTTCATGTACAAATATGGTGATATACGAATTTTTTACTGGTAAATTTTCTGTCAAAGTGGCATGAACTATATTGTTCAATAATTACAGTAATGTCGCACTTATTATCCAAAAGTCGCACTTGGATCTATACGGTCGCTCGAGTAATTTCACTTGTCAGCGTCAATTAGATTTTGACAGCAATGTTTTACCTAACAGGAAAACTCGTAAATCTATGGCCAAGATATCGCCCCGAAAAGAACTGATTTGGTCGCGTTTCAGTCTTTTGTGTTCTTTTTCAGTGGGTTGAATAGCGGAGAAGAAAATTAAAACGAAATGCTTTAAAAATTATGTTTTAAAATAATAAAATGAAATGAAGAACAGTTCCAAAGAGAACCGAACTGAAATTTAACTATACGGAAGATTTGGAGAAACTCGATTCATCTCTATCGAGACGGTATGCCGGCCCCAACCGAGAAAATAAGGTCGATATTACATAACCAAATTAACGGAGCAAGCGACTGAGAGAAAGAAGAGAAGAGGAGCCCGATCTCGGAGCTTGGTGGAGTGTGGTGTGCGAGTTGAGAAGTGTGTTGATAGACGTGTCAGCAATCAATAGGGGTTGTCCGACACGTAGGTCTGTTACAGGGGCACGCGTAAACCATTTCCATTTTGAACTGGACACTTTATTCCATACACGGGTGAAGGATTGTTCATATTCTGCGTTTCATACTTAGCAGATGTCGTATGTCAGTTAATCTCTTTATAGTCAGTTCGACTTTCTGTCGCTTGTCTGTTTCTTTCTACGAATCAGTGAATATGAACCCCCACCTCACACACGATTCGAGCCAAGGATTGAACTCACAACTACCAAAGTGAGCATAGTCGTTCGAACAGAAAGACATGTTAATTCATCATATAAAAATTCCGACATAAATTTATTTTTCAGGTCTGGATTTAGAAAGTAAGAGGCCCAATTGCAAATATTCTTGCGCTGCGGGGATCCATTTTGGTGCGGTATCCAGCTGTGATTTACTGGTCCGCCTAAGCATGTATCACGCGTGGCACATAACTGACTGTTAACCAGACTAAGAAGCTGCTTTACCAAGATCTTCCACCATAGCATGTTAGTTAAGTATTCGAGGATACCCGTCTACTAGGGCGGTATGACACTATTTAGCTATGGTAATTTGCTAACTAATTAACCATAGAATTTAAAAACAGGAAATACTTAAGGCGAGAAAGAGCTATATCGAAAGATAGACTGATCGACGTTAAAAAAGAAGATTTTATTTTATTTACGAAGAAAGATACTTTTCGCACGAGACAGAAAATCCGTAAGAAAAAGCGAGATATGAGATTCTGTCAAAACTGATTAATGTCATGATAAGAGAGTGACGCGCCAAGGAAAACAGAATTCAGAAAGAAAAAGAAAGTCAACCGACACATGCGGCCATAACAAAAATTTCGGCTTGGGACCACCGCGGTACAGGCAGAGAGAATCGATATTAGTTATCTTTCAGAGATATCATTTAATTTTAATTCCTGGGTCCAACGAAGGGGAACCATCTGGTGTGTGTTAGAATTCTGGCATGAGGAAGAAAATTGTATTATTATTGCTTATTCAAACTGTTGACGTCAGACACAGCGTCGTCGAAAATAGGCATTTGGTGATAAGATTATTTTAAGGCATGAGAAAAATAAAGAATTTGATTCTCAGGTAAAATACGGACCTCCCAGCTAAAAGTTGAAAAACCTAGGTGACAGTGATTGATGAGTCGGTAGAGAGATCCGACTAAGTGAATTTTGGGTGTCCCCAAAAGAAAGATGTGATAAGAATTATTTGGCAATCTGCGGTTTGTAAAAAATGTTTTGGTCGAAGGAAAAAAAAATGATTTTGTAAACAAAATTCTGGATAATAATTTTAAGAGGGCCAGTCTAGCCACACCAACACTGCCGAGAGATCATTGGTCAAGTGGTAGCATGGGTGATAGGCAGAGGTGAATGTATGAGAAAGACGGAGAAGTTGTTAACATCCACTGAGGGGATTTGTATTAGATACCAATGTGAGAGAGGAAGAGTCTAGGAGGATAACTCTCCTCCGACCTTCCCTCACGGACAAGGTAGAAACCCCTGAAATGGAAAGTGATTAGTTTTCCAAAAATGGGAAGTAATTAATTTTCCTGGCCTAAGAACAAAGGGAATTCTTGCTGGGAATCGAGGATTATCGGGAACCCAAGCCACGTCAAGCCCCATACCGGGTTTTGGTCGGTGCCCATATAAACGAACGTCCCCGGTCAGTTTTCAGTTAGTTACAGGAGTTCTAGCAGTTGATTTGCAGTTGCAGTGAGACCGTTGCCTCGCAGAAGCTGACCGAGTGATTTCCACGTCTTCTTCGACTTCGACTTTCTACCAAAAAGCAAGTTATATTGACGAATGACTTAAGATACCAAAACTCGGTAAAGAAACGCAAAAGTGTCACAAATCCATAGAAACGGGCTGGGAGAGAAACACACTTCTGTGTATAACAGACGGATAAAGATAATTTGTTATTTCTCAACATATTTGAACCTCTTGAGTTTGTTTTATTGCTTCTTTTACTTACGCTTGTGCTATATCACCTTTATCCCGGATTCAGCTTGCGCTACGGCCCGACGCCTGATTGATTTCGTCTACTTAAGATCAAAGTCACAACGTGTGTAGATTAGACTTGAGATCAAAGTAGTTACTTCGGTAACCAGATGTTGGAAGTGAGCTGGAAACGACAAAGCTGGTAACGAACCGGGAACGACCAGATCAACCAGGACACAGGCTAGTGGCAGCGACAAAGAATCAACCCCAAAACGCTGGTGGAAGAAACCTTACAGCTTCGCGCCGCAACTGGGAGTTGACCACGGGCCAACAGCGCATATTGGTGTCGCGACCAGAGGACGTCACATATTGGTGCTGCGACCAGCGGTGGGTGTCACAGCGTCCAGCTAATCCCTATTGAAGACGCCTGCTCAGGCGCATTTTTGTGTTTGATCAACACCCCAGTTTCTGGGAGAGAAGCGTGTTATCTAGCGTGATCAACATTCTGAACAAGTCCAGCACGTTCAAACCCTCGGTCACGATGACTTGTCACTTCATGCTAGCACAGCCATCGACGGCCCCCCTGTGTTTCCTAATTTCATTCACAGGGCTTGGGTCAACCCGTGGTATGGTTTTCAGGTACTTTCCAAAAGCACCGCACGCAGGGGTCGCCCTCTCCGGACCGATAACATCAAGAAGTCACCTTCTGGACAAATTGATCATGGTGAGATTCGCACGCGGGTCTTCATGGTCAGAAAGTGAACATTCTCACAACTCGGCCACTGAACGTAGAAATACGCAAAATATACAATATAAAGCTTGTACTGAAAAGTTTGGAGATTATACTAATTGTGTTCGGGCATGATTTTACTAGGAAACGGACAATTTTAGAATTTATGAAAGAATGAGTTTCACAGAGATTCAATAATTATGCTTCAAATCATGTTATCTATAAGAAAGTAAAAAAAGAAAATTTCCTTCTGGAATTGTTCTATTGGCCTGCCATAAAATCAAGATTTTTCTTGTTTTCAGGGTATCATGTTCCAGAT